CAATATATTATATATATTAATGTTATGTTTCCTTTTTTGTTTCTTCCCAAATCTCCCCCCATGTTTTGCCGAAGGTTTTTGCCAATTGTTTCCTTTTTTATTTATTTCCCCCTTTTTTTTTTCTTCCCAAATCTCAACCCCCCTCAATGTTTTGTCGTGTCTTAGGTTTTAATACTCCCTCCCCTTTCTTTCTTTCCCAGTTTTCTTTCTTTCTTTCTTTCCCAGTTTTGCCGTGTCCTAACATCTCTATCAAATATAATTAAGAACTATAGATAATACTATTTGAAATAAAACTTTGATCAAACCAAAAGTTGTTAAACACCCTCACTCGAACCCAAAAACCCCCAATTAAAAGAAAAGAAAATAACCCTAATACAGCTATATATGTGGGTTATTCATGTCACACGATCAAAGCAACTATTGTATAAAGAAAGAAAAGAAACTTACAGATTCTTGGTTGCTTTCCATGATAAAATTGAAGTGGGTGCAGAATATGTTTTTATTTTTTTTTTAAAGAAAGAAAGAAACGAAACTGGGAAAGAAAAAAAGGGAGGGAGTTTTGAAGCCTAAGACCTTCGGCAAAACATTGGGGGGGGGGATTTGGGAAGAAACAAAAAAGGGGGAAAGAAATAAAAAAGGAAACATTTCGCAAAAACCTTCGGCAAAACATGGGGGGGGGATTTGGGAAGAAACAAAAAAGGAAACATAACATTAATATATATAATATATTAATTAGTTAAAAAAAATAACTATAAAAATTTTAAATATAAAATAAAGATAAAAGATTATATTTAAGACTTGCCACATGGCAAGTTTTGAGTGGACTGTAGTGCCACTCAACGAAGTTCAGTGGCAAGCCAAGCCCCACACAAGTTTTTCTCGTAGTAAATGTTCATGCAAGATCGTTCCCACAGGGATTGAATGAATAATTTGTATTTAAACTAATTCTTAATTAATTATTTGAAACAAGATGTCGAAAAAGGTTGATTTTATTACCTAAAATATTATAAACAAATAAAGGATTAAAGAAATTAGCAAAGTAAAGAAAACAAAAGAAAACATTTTAAAAACCAAATTGTAAAAGCCTAGGGTTGCCATCACCTTAACAATCATATATAGTTTTATCAATTACTTATGAATTACACATGCAACTTTTAAGGTTAGGTTTTCCGAATGTATATTCTCCTCGTGATATTCAAGCAAAAACATATATCTAACATGCAACTCATCTGTGATATTTAGATCAAATAGGAATATGTAACACTCATTAAATTTTGTGAAAACCCTTTGAAAAATCTGCAACCTCTAAGAGTGTGATATTTGCCTTAAGTGAAATTACAATTATAAACCACAAGAAGCAATATTTAATCCTTTAGTGATATTTCTACTGAATTGCATCGGATTACTTATCTAAACATCCTGATGGTAGCTAAGAATTAAGATATAGACACAATATAAACACAATGACTAATAATTCAAAGTATACATGCATAACATCATAAGCAATTGAATAAATATTACATATTCAAGTCAAGGCTTGTGGCCTTGCCCTAGAAAAACAGAAATTAGTTACAAACAATTATAAACAAAAAGAATTTTATTGCAAAAGAAAAATGATAGAATACACCTTGAAAGATAACTACTACAAAATAAAATACTTACGAGAAAAAGTCTTCTAATATCTAGGAAACATAATAGAATAAGATAACTAGGAAATACATTCATATTCAAACTTTGGGAAATCTACCCAATCATAAAGAATCCCACGTTTCTAGATCTTCAGGGTTCCAAAACAGGCCCAAAATGACTCGTATTAAAGCTTGAGATGTCCCTAACATAATTGCAAAAGGCCTTGAACCCGAAAGACATGATCTTGAGCGCCAAAAAACTTAAATAAGCCTAAAACGTTACGTTGACATCACTACGCGCTACTCATTTATTTCATCGTCATAAATTAATAGTTTAGTAGAAAAATCTAAAACTTTGACACGAACAAGCTGAGAGACTCACTCCAAAATTATTCCGTTTGATTACTTTATGCTCAAGAAGAAGTCAAATGCCCTACATTAAGAACATAAATCAAAGTATTAACAACTAGTATTTGGGTGTTTCTGTTTGAGCCGTATGAGATGAAATTTTCATATATACGGTTCTCCCGGGGGGGGGGTCTCTTGATTTATTTGAAACCAAATCATATTCCATGAATATAATACATATCCAGTGTGATGTTAGAGTATAATATCGATTCATCAGAAGTCCACCGGTATTCAATCAAGATTTTAAAAGAGTATAAAACTCTAGAAATGAGAATGCATTCTTTACAATTTTAAAGTAGTTCATTAAACTCCATATGTATTCTATTATGATTGAATTTTAAAGTATTTTAAAAGTTAAGGGATTTTAATGGCCATATGAATTTAAACTAAAAATTATCAGTAATGTTATTCTTACCATGTTTTTATACCACATTTATATATCACCTTATGTGACATTTGATGTAAACAGTCACATTATTTAAATTAATCAGAATTTAATTTAATTTAAAAACCATTTAATAAACCAATAATTAAAAAAAAAACTAGAATTAAATAGTTATTGTGGCATAGGAGTCTTCTCATTCCTTCCCCGTTCAATCCTGCTTCTTCTCCCATTTCTTCTTCAACGCCAGTTCTTTCAAGACATGTTTTTTCCAGCCGCCTCGCCATTGATGGAAGCAGACGAAGTAATGGAGTTATACGATTCTTTCTAGTTCGAGCTCCGGATCTTCAAGAAACAACCGGTTTCATCGAACCCATCAAATTTCGAAGAACACCCAGCTCATGAAATTGAAGAAAACCATCAAAGCCAGAGTTTTTACGGATTCCAACCAAGTACACCAGGTCCATGAGCAACGAGTTCAGCTCCAATACGAGCACTCTCTCGCTGGACTCTGTCCTCCACAGACCGAAGCTCTCCACAATTCTTTTCGGAAAAGAAGCCAGGGAAATCGGAAACTCGAAACAGATATATTCAGAAGAAGAACCACAGAAGATTGAAAGGAGGAGGAGAAGAAAGAAAAAGAGTGAGAGCAAGAGCTTGACGGACCTTCAGTTTGAAGAGCTAAAAGGGTTTATAGATCTTGGTTTTGTTTTCTCAGAGGAAAATAAAGATTCAAACTTGGTTTCAATCATTGCCAAGTTCAGAGCTGATGAGATGGCCAAGGCGAATGAGTTCATAAGGAAGCAACGGCAAAGAGATTGGGAAGTTGCTCAGCTTTCTCTCATTGAGGTGGGGAAAAAAATGTGGTGATTGATGACAAGTTCAGCACCGAGGGAGAATTTCACATATATGTTGATTTCTGGTGTTTCAATGACCATATGTCATCCGTTTAGGTACACTAGTTTCAAGTACATATATACAATCAACTTTGTCATGTTTCCCAATTGCAATGTTGCCGAATAAGTATTTGTGCTTTGTAACATTGTTTATTTATGTAGTATTGATTGATCGGTCGATCTTTAATTTAATTATTTGTGCTTCGTAACATTGTTTGCAAAATAAGAAGACAACCGCTCCCACTCTCGAGTACAGTTCCCTTCCCGGAACCGGAAAAACGGAGAGTTTGACTTCTATCTGTGAAAGTTTCAAGTTGGCTTTTCAGCAACTAGCTTGTTTATGAAACCATGTCAAGTTTACCATATCCATCAGCATTACTATATGGACTGTGCACCTGATAAAAAGAGAGTCATCACATTTAGATGAGGACCCAGTGAGAAATTTTTAATTGGTTGCCTGCTGAGTCTTTGTTTGAAGACTGCAAACAAAGTGTAGAAGATATGGATCAGGCCAGTCCTCTTTGACTTTCTCATCAGCCAGAACTTAACGATTTTATAATTCAAATCATATCGAAATTCTCACCGAGGTAGGTAATTTCTTACAGTTCGAGTAAGAATATATATTAAGATCAAGTTGATAAGTTTTTTGGTATGGAGATTAGAATATTTTACCTTTGGTAATCGTCGATGAATCTTTGCCCTATGAGAATTATTTGAGATTGTGGTAGTTCACACTAACGTGAAAAAAACTGGGATGAAAAAAAATGGCGTGGAAGAAGAAACGGGAGATTAAGCATATTGAACGGGGAACGAACGAGAAGATTTCTCGTATGCCACAATCATCATTTAATTCTAATTTTTTTTTAATTATTGATTTATTAAATGGTTTTTAATTTAAATTAAATTTTGATTAATTTAAATGATGTGTATGTCTATATCAGATACCATATAAAGTGATATATAAATGTGGTATAAAAACATGGTAAGAATATCATTACTGGCATTTTAAGTTCTTTTGAATTTGGTATCTAAACTAAAAGTCTTTTTAAATTTAGAATAAATTACACAAAACTACTTCAAGTATGGGTCGAACCACAAGCTAATATTTTATGTTTTAAACATTGCAATGTCATAACTCATTTTACAAATTCATTGCAATGTCCGACCTCGATTAATATTAAATTTGATTGTTAAATGATGAGATAACAGGTGCAAGACCTACGTCCTCCCCCAACTAAATAAAAAAATTAATTAAATATTAATAAATATAGAAAATCATTTTTAAAAATTATTTTAAAAAGCGGGACCCATATACTCACCCAACTATTTTAAAAATTAACTAAATATTAACAAAATAGAAAATCATTTAAAAAATTATGGAACCCACCCCCACCACCCAACTTTCCCCCACTCCATCCGTCCCCCTCCCTTTTCCCCTCGTTCTGTTCCAGAACCCCCGCACCATTTTTCCTCTGCAATTTTCCCTTGCAGCCCCAACCACAAAACCCACCCTGTTTTGAAAACGCCGTTGATGGCGAGGAGGGAACCTCATCAAACTTCAGTTGGTGTTGCGGGAAATGCCTTAGATTCGGGCCGGGTCGGGTTGTTTGGTGTACCTTCTGCATGCTCAGATCTGCAAACTCCAGTTGGTGTTGCAGATTCGGCAGATCAGACCTGAAATTGAACCGAGAAAAAGGTTCGCCTCGAGCCAGGGTGCACGGGTCAACGGAGGTGGAGTTCCAAGTGCTGATCTTGTTGGATGCGTTCTGCAAGTGAGAAACCAAGCTAGGTGGTGTTCGGCCATGGCTGCCATTTTTGTAAGTGAGAGCAGAGAGAGTGAGGAAGACAAGTGAGAGGCGAGAGAGAGAGTTAGGAAGAGGGTTCTTTTATTTTTTATTTAGAGAAAATTAATGAAAACTACTTGAAAACTTTGAATTTTAATGATAAGGATAAAATAAAGGGTAAAGTTAATAGTACCAGGATTGATTTTTTAGTGTAAAAATGTGATTTTTTTGTTAAAGTGAACAGTACCATGTACTTATCGTTAAAATTTCCTTTATTTAATGGTTAAATAAAGGTAATAATTTATTATTAATTAATTGTTTTTTCATTCTAGGCTAGGGAAGGAGTGGGTCTCGCTTCTGTATCATTATTTAATAACTAATTAACATAAAATTTAACGAAATTTTGATATTGCAACGAATTTATAAGTTAAAGTATAATATTGTAATGTTTAAAACATGAAATATGAAATTGTAGTTCAACGCATAATTGAGGTTAGTGAGTTCTCTGTCAAAACCCTAGATTAGAATAATTTATAATATCATTTTGTACAGCGATGACAACCCTGATAGATAGACATGACCGTTCACAAATCTAGTGAGTTCTCTTTCAAAACCGGGTATCATTGGGCTCCTTGCAAAGCTTTGTCCAAGGCTAGCTCCAACAAGCTATTCTTGTCTCCCAATCTTAATCTAGACATATGGCATACGATTTGGGGCTGGAACACTCCCTAAAATCAAGCTCTTTTTATGGCGATCGATTGATCTCAGGTGCACTCCCCAGTCCCACCCTGGACTGCCTATTTCGTAGGCAGCGAAGCCCCAATCCCTTGTGCCTTGAAACTTCAGCACATATGATCTTTCAGTGCCAAAGGGCTGAAAGGGTGTTAAAAAATAAAAGGCCATTATAAATAAATAAGAGTGGAGGAAAACAGGCCTTGTGCCTATCAAGCCCCCTTTGTATCACAAACAACCTGGGAGACCTAAAACTTGTAGAAAAAAGGAAGCTGATGAGATACCAAAAAAGGCAACAAAGTTGAGAAGATATGGCATTGTTATTAATTGCAACATTTGTGGTGTTGATGGTCATAACTCAGCAACTTGTCGCAACAATGAGCATGTATTTCTGATATTCTCAAATTTTGACTTGAACTTAATTTAGTTCTCATAGTTTCACACGCTTTTCATTGAAATTCCTAACTTTATTGCAGATGGATGGACAAGGAGGTAGAAGAGGAAGAGGAGCACGGGGAGGTAAGGGAGCAAGACGACAACGTGGAGAAGCAAGAGGACAACGTGGAGGAGCAAGAGGAGGCAGAGGAGCTCTAAACTTAATAGGGGTGATGAAAACCATCAATTTAAGTTTTTATTTTTATTTAAATTGGTAAATAAACTATTGTTAACATCATTGAATTACTTCAGGGTTTAGGAGGTAAGCAAGATCAAGGTGAAACTCATTCTCAAGTTCCAACTCAAGCTCATTCTGAATGTCCAATTCAATCTCAATCTCAAGCTCAAAGGACGACAAATTTTTCTGTAAGTACATCATTTTCTATTCTATAGGTATAAATGAAAATACAAGAGGAAGGTATGCATCTCAAGTGAAGTTTTTATATTTCAACTGATTTATATTAATGCTTTAACTGATATTTTTTTTTAGGTTACAAGAGAAGGGTATGTATCTCAAGCACAATGTGAAGCACAACCTCAAGTTGCTGCTTCTACATCACACCCTCAACCTTACTCAGCCATCAGTAATGAAAATAGGTTTAGGTACAAGATTCCAGCCAAACGAGGAAGGCCATGGAAAGTGTAGTTGATCTCCACGTGTCATGTGCATTTCGAGCAGAATGTTTGTGCTCTTGTTTTGATAACTAAAACCTTATTTTGCTTGTGTTTGGTTAAGTGGAATGCCCATGTTTTGTAATCGAGATTATATGGGTTATATACCTTATGGATGGTAAAATCTCTTATGTTTTCCAACTTCTTAAGGATCATTTTGTGGAATTGTATTGGGATTATGACATTATGAAAAGTATATAATTATCTTGAACATTTTTTATGAGTATTATGAACATCTTCCTATTAAACAAACAATTACAAAAGGTATAAAATATACTTACAGTACTTTGGACGATTCCCCCACTGTGCACCTCCAAAGGCATCTTCAACTCTCAAAACTTTTTGTAATCTCAATGATTTTGTCGAATCCACCATCAACAAACTATGAAGTCAATTCCCCCAAGTTTCAGTGAACACCCACCTTGCAAATCATGTGCAAACCCTAAATTTCTAAACAGCGACAGTGGAAAGGATATATTGTGTGAAAGTCTTGCTAAATGACTTTTCTGCCCTTAAAGAATTATCACATAACAGAAATATGGATGGAATATATGAAAAACTAACGGTAGGGGGCAAATTGGCTAAAAAAATTAGTTTGAGTCCTTAATTTTCCAATAGAAAAGTTCAGGGGGGAAATCGAAAGTGAGGTGAAAGTTCAGGGGGTAAATCGACAGTTTACTCCATTAAAAAAAAAGTAAATTACATTTTACCTCTTCAGGTTTGAGGTCCATTTTAATTTCTTACATCTTTAAAACATTTCAATTTCACTAACTTATCATTTTATTTCAATTTCATACATCCGTTAGAAAAATCCATTAAGTAAACCGTTAAGCAAACCTAAAGGGATAAAATGTAATTTACCCTTAAAAAAAAAAACAAATACCAAAAGCCTATGCGTCTTCTTCCCTTTCCAATTTTTTTTCCGACCACAAACATTTTCCACCATCAATTAACAACATATTATGTATTTACATTTGCAGTCCTCTTATTAGCTGGTTACTATAAAGATGTTGAATTTGATATTGATTGAACATTGGAGTCCTTTTAGTTGTAAATATCTTAATTTTACTTTGAGGTTTGATGACATGTTGAATTTTAGAATGGTTTGATGTACTAGGAAATGAAACCATCTTAAAATTGTTATTTTTTTCATTGTGCTCGCGCTAACATAGTCGAAAAATGCAAAAGAAAAAATAATTAAGTTTAGGCCCAAACCAACCGAACCGAACTAAATAGTACATTGTAATTTGTTTGGTCGCAATTTTGGGGTAAACTGGCCCATCGCCTGTCGTTCACATCCCTACTTCTAAGTGAGATTTCTCAAGTTCGACTCACAAAAATTGAGAGTTTGCTACCTAACTATTATGACTAGTTTTTATTTATTTATTTATTTATTTATTTTGTGAATTAAACCATATCCCCCTAAAGTAGATTATAGTTGCATAAAAAATTAATTAATTAAATTAAATTAAATTTAAAAAAAAAAAAAAAAAAAAAACTGACTTTGGTTACCCTAGTGAAATGAAAAGAGCTTTCTAGGTAAATATGGGAGAGTTGAAGGCCCCAAAATCACTTATGAGAAGAAACACCTCTCCATAAATCACTAAAAACTATTTTAAAATTAATTGTGTTTAAGTTGATTTTGATCACTATCTTCTCTTGTATGGAAATAATATTTTAGGATGAGGTAGCCAAATTCGAGACCATGTAATGGAAACCAGATATACCAAATTGATATTAGAGAATCTAAATATCTACAATGAAAGTAAACAAATGTAACACATACGAAGATGTTAATTACATGATTGCTAAGAATAATCCCTACACTGATGAGGGAAGATTATACCACCACACCTCGACGTCAAGAGCTCCAAAGCCTTCTAAATCTTGGAGGGGTGCAAAAGAAAAAGATGCGAGTGGGCAAAATAAAGATTTCTAAAATTCATTTCTTTTTCGAACATACTAACCCCTTACTGTAAAGACCCGCATGTATGTCAAAATCATACTATATATAAGTATGAAAAACAAAGCAGTAAAGTAATCAGGCCATGATAATATCTCAAATCACAAGTGTCACAAAATCATAATAACGCATCAAGCATTTCAAATACCAGAGTGAAGCACAGTGAAAAAAAATTTCAAAGAAAAGTTCACAATGCTCATAAATCACATCGTCGTCAACACATAAAGCATTTGCATAATCTAAGTAAAAGCAAAGTGAAGCATGATATAAAAGCATCATCAAACCAATTTGGAAAACATATAATATGATATAATTTAGAAGGAAAAGCCCACTCACACACCGTATGATCATAGTCGCCTTGCCGTGCACACTCTTTGTAATCCACGTGATCACGTTCCCAAAGTGAAAACAACCTTTACTTAGCAATGTAATTGAATATTTCATAGAGTATTGAAATACAGAGCTTGAAATACCATATTCAGTGTCCGAAAACATACCTCTACCGCCATACGCCATCATAAGCTATCATGCGTCGATAGGAAGTTGGCATGCGGCGGCACACGCCTTCACTCATCGGCACGTGCTGTCACAGGCTTCTACACGCCGGTGGCTGAGGCGATCGCCGAAATTGGAATATTCCGTCACCGACAAAGGAATATTCTGTGACCAAACGAAATATTCTTTTTGTATTAAAGAAAATATTGTGAAGAATATGCCTTCGAATATTTTGACCTCGAGTCGAAAATGGGTTGGGTCGTCGGGTCAAAATGGTTAGGAACAGATAGTCAAGTCGATCGGGTTGTCGGATTCGAATTGTCAGGTTGGCGGATTTGGACTGAGGTTCAGGTCGGGTTGATTCGATTCAAGGTGCCGCTGCAACCCGCCAGAAATTGGAGATTTTGGCTGGATTCACGTTTCTGCTTGCTGCGGCACCATTGTTGCTTCGATGTCTGATCCTAGGACATATTCCGACTCCAGGTATCAATACGAACACAGTGGTAGCAACAAACACATGGTGATTCTGGCCGTCACATCGTCGGCCTTCGGTTTTCTCATCGAAAATTGAGAAATTTTTCCCTCGTTGATCTGCATTTTTCCAACCAAATCACTTATGCAATACATCATGCTTCATCTGCTCGACGAGAGAAATCTAATGGTCATAGTTAGAGGCCTTACCTTGGCTAGAATTGGCGAGAAAGTCACTGGGAAAGTTGCTCCGTGTTAGAGCTAGTTGAATCAATATCTCGAGTTTGAATCTTGAGGAACAGGTACTATGGTTGGGTTTGTGGGTAGGGGAGAGTACAATGGTGGTGTTGGGTGAACTAATTCACTAGAGAACAAAGGTTATGTTCCCTTGTGGTTTGTGTGGTTTGCTTGGAAAACGTAGGCCTGACAAACGGATCGTATTTGTCGTGTTCGTGTTATTTTTGTGTAACATTTGTTATCTTAATGGTTGTGTCGTGTCACATCCGTTATCTTAATGGGTCCTTAACAGGTCGGGTCACTTTACCCAACAGATAAAGTAACCCGACCCGTTAAGAAAAATATTTTCTTTTCTTAAATTTGCACATACCACACATTGCCACATAAATATTACTTAAAAGCATTAAAAATACATTTGTCGTTTAAGTACTCCATCTACACTCGAAATAAGTGCCTAATAAAAAAATAATACATACACTACTAATCAATTACAAATATTAAATGTGCAAGGAATGCAAAATGAAAAAGTTTTTTGTTTTGAAGGTTATGAAGTCTTTCTCAAAAGTTTAAACCTTAATTTACAAAATCATCGATTTACATCGATCATCATGAAATTATATTGGAACTTTAGCTTAATCTCAACTGATCAAATGGTAATCAATTTTTTAAATTTAATTTAATATATATATATATATATATAATTATATTATATAATTATTATAGTTTTTAGGGGTATAAAATTGATAAATTAATATATATAATTATTATAGTTTATTCATACTTTTATTAAGTATAACATAAGATTTTATGATATCCACTAATGTAAATATTTTAAATTGAAGATCGAATTCATTCTTTGTAATCATATAGGGTCAAGGAGTGTAGCTGTAAAAAATCATTAAAATCAAAGTTAAAATAACCGTTAAATCGTGAATTTTCAATTATATTCATATAATTGAAACTAGTTTCGTAGAATGAGTATCCCATCAAAACAATATATTCACTAATACTTAAGAGTTTATTCTTACTTTCATTAAGTATAACATAAGATTTTGTGGTATCCACTATTGTAAATATTTTAAATTGAAGATCGAATTCATTCATTGTATTCATATATTCATATAGGGTCAAGGAGTGTAGCTGTAAAAAATCATCAAAATCGGAGTTAAAATACCCATAAAATCGTGATTTTTCGTTTATAACCGTTGAAAAGTTTTGTCCCGTTACTTTATCTCTGAATATTTGTTTTTTGCAATTTTTGGCGTATGCGATATCGAAGTATATAAAAACATGTTTGATGGTTGGATCATTGAAACTAGTTTCGTAGAATGGGTATCCCATCAAAACAATAGATTCACTAATACTTAAGAGTTTATTCATACTTTCATTAAGTATAACATATGATTTTGTGGTATCCACTATTGTAAATATTTTTAAATTGAAGATCGAATTCATTCATTGTATTCATATAGGGTCAAGTAGTGTAGCTGTAAAAAATCATCAAAATCGGAGTTAAAATAACCGTTAATCGTGATTTTTCGTTTATAAGCGTCGAAAAGTTTTGTCCCTTTACTTTGTCTCTGAATGTCCGTTTTTTCCAATTTTTGGCGTATGCGATCTCGAAGTATATACAAACATGTTTGATGGTTGGATCATTGAAACTAGTTTCGTAGAATAAGTATTCTATCAAAACAATATATTCACTAATACTTAAGAGTTTATTCATACTTTCATTAAGTATAACATAAGAATTTGTGGTATCCACTATTGTAAATATTTTAAATTGAAGATCGAATTCATTCATTGTATTTATATATTCATATAGGGTCAAGGAGTGTAGCTGTAAAAAATCATCAAAATCGAAGTTAAAAAAACCGTTAAATCGTGATTTTTCGTTTATAACCGTTGAAAGTTTTGTCCCGTTACTTGATATCTGAATGTTTGTTTTTTGCAATTTTTGGCGTATGTGTCGAAGTATATACAAACATGTTTGATGGTTGGATCATTGAAACTAGTTTCGTAGAATGAGTATCTCATCAAAACAATAGATTCACTAATACTTAAGAGTTTATTCATACTTTCATTAAGTATAATATAAGATTTTGTGGTATCGACTAGTGTAAATATTTTAAATTGAAGATCAAATTCATTCATTGTATTCATATAGGATTAAGGAGTGTAGCTATAAAAAATAATCAAAATCGGAGTTAAAATAACTGTTAAATCGTGATTTTTTGTTTTATAACCATCGAAAAGTTTTGTTCGGTTACTTGATCTATGAATGTTTGTTTTTTGCGATTTTTTGCTAATACGATCTCGAAGCATATACAAACAAGTTTAACGGTTGGATCGTTGAAATTAGTTTTGTATAATTCGTATCCCATCAAGTTCAATGATATATATATATATATATATATGTTTATTAAGTAGATTTAAATCTATTTATTTTGTACGTATAATTGACTGGTACATGGAGTAGTACATCACGTGTCATTATAAAAATAGTGGGATATGTCATATGTGTGATAAAAAGTTAATAACTTAAAAAAAAAAAAATTTCTCACCCCTTTTATTAATTTTCATTTTTCCCTCTCTTTTTTGTTTCCTTTTCAACTTTTCTTATAATTTTCATTTTTCCCTCCCTTCAGCAACCTACCCATCTTTCCCTTTCTTTTTTTGTTTCATTTTCAGCTTTTCTTATAATTTTCATTTTCCCTTCCTTTTTCTTCAAAGGGTGCGCCATGAATGAAATGAAATTATGGAATCAATTGATGCATATTAATTAATAATTATTATAGTTTTTATAAAATTTAAATTTAAAATTTAATATATATATATATAATTATTATAGTTAATATTTTGGGGGTATAATTATTATAGTATATATAATTATTATAATTATTATAGTATTTTTTTAGGGTTATAAAATTATAAAATTAATATTCTGCTTGTCGTGTATTGTGTTACCCACGCGTGTTGTGTCGTGTCAGGTTATCGGATCGTGTTAGGAATTGACAGGCCTAGGAAAACAAGGAGAGAGACATGTCATCAAGTACTATAAGAATATGTTAAAATGATAGGTCATAGGTGTTACAGCCCAAAAGGTCAACCAAAGTCAACATTTTCACCTTTTAGGAACATTTTGGTCATTTCCCACCTTCAAGAATTAAAATAGAATAATTTTCGGAACGAGTTGTAACAAATTTCATGAAGTATAATTCTTTGGAAAATCAAGAACATTTTACTCAGTATTTGACATATTCTAAATTAGATTCCACATTTATTTGTTTAGTGTATTTATCATGAAGTGGTCACTCTATTCAATATTTGTCCTCTTTAATAAAAAAAAGAAGACCATGATTTGACAAACTTAATAATTATCGTGGCCATTATTGCATGTGGTAAAGTAATTCACTAATTTTCATACCGTAATTGCTCCCAATTTTAATACGTATCATTTTAGGATTCGATAAGTTCTAAAAGAGTTTTTATCAATAATGACCAAAATTTAACACCTAATTTTTTAAATGTCAATTTTTATAACATCTTTAAAAAATAACAAAAAACCCACTTAAATAGACTCAACCTTTGGTATGGGAAGGTTTTAGTGCATATCCTAGGGTTTTATTTCACCACAATTTCAGTTGGATGCATGATTTCTAATGAAGAACAAGTGGAGTGAGTAAAACTCCACAATCATGGTGGTTGCCTCTTAATGAAGGGTGGGTGAAACTAAATGTGGATGGAGCCATAAGGACAACGGACGGGACAGGAGGTGCAATTCTATTCTTCTCAGAGTTAGAACAACTCAAAATTTGGAGCGGTTGAGTGGCTTACTCACAACTCCCATCAAAATTCCATTGACCTCCCCTTTTCTATGTAAATGAGTTTTGAATTTTGAGGATATTTAAGTTTATTCGTGTGAGTTTTCTTTTATATTAATTTTTTTTATTTATAAAAAATGACATTTATGAATTAAAATATTAAATATTGACTATTAATGATAAATACTCGTTCTAAAAAAAGTAAAAGAAAATTAGAAAGGAAAAGAACAGGAACATTGGTAAAGAAAACAGTACAAGGAAAAGATGATAGCAAACAATCTAACGGCTGGACGTCTGTCGCACAATATCTAAATTGCCTAGCTTAGTAAGCAATGCGAATCCAAAGGGGACAAATGTCCTGTCCTAGTAATGTTCAATCCAAGCCACCCTTTGATTCCAATTTCTTCAGCTCTGTAGTAAGTAACCACTTCACATTCACCCAAACATATTGCTGAACAATCCGACTAATAAGTAGGCTATCTCAAACCGAAGGCTCGCCCCTCGTTTAAGTCCCTTTAAGATATTAATATTTTAATAAACAGTACATGATCATATTTGCCTTCATCCCCAACAGAGGACCAAAGGGCCAGAGGGCTCGTTTTAGCTCTATCACAAAAAATCATCTTCAATTGAGAGCTAAAAGGCTATAGTATGAAATGTGAAGAATTGAAATAAAATAAGGTAAGACAGTATGAAATGGTGAAAAATATGTGAGAAATGGTATTGGAAAAAATTAGAAATTAAATAAAAAAAACATCAAAAAAAAAATAAAAAATCAAAAAGGGCTATTAAAAAAAAAAAGTGAGCTAGGACAAAAAAAGTTCAGAAGTCCTAAACCTAAAGTGGGCTGAAAGAACAGAAAAAAAAAAAAAAAAAGAAAAAAAGAAACTGGGTTGGGCAAGTGGAAAAGAAAAAAGAAAAAAAAAACAAAATGGGCTAGCCAGTGGGATGGCTGATTGGCTAAAGATGGTCAGCTGGTTGGCCCTCTGGCCCGTTTTATCATGTGGGGCCCACGAGTCTTTTGACCTAGCCCTCGGTTGGAGACGGTTTTCAGGCTATTTTTGGCTTTCTGACCCTCTGGACTCTTCGGTTGGAGATGGTTTAATATCGTCTTCGTATCCCCCACTCAAACACGGAAAATTTGGAAAAATAGCCAAAATTTTAACTATGAATAGAATTTTAACCAACCATTATAAATTTTTACAATTCTAACCAAAACTTGGCATAAAAATACTATAATGCCCTCTAGTGTGTAGTTCACACCCATTTGCTTTGCTAGAGGTCGCACCATTTGTGAGGTTGTTTGGGCCCAAAATATTAGGTTGGG